TGCTTCCTCTGTATAGATGGGTTTGTAGTGACAATTTGTATGCAAAATACTCTAACTGCTTGCTGTGTTGAGATTTTGCAAGACAACAAATCACTGCCACTGTAAAACCTCTCATGTTTTCATACCTTTAAAACTAAAAAAAAAAAATTCTTTGAAGAATTCTGTGCTGTTGGGAAGCAAATTTCTCTATTATTAATTTAGGTTTTGCTGAAGTCTGTGGGCCTGCTCTCTACGTAAAAAAGCAAACAAAAAAATTTCTTGCTTTTTTAAAGACTTTGAAAATGCTGGCCAGATCACAGGATGAGGCAGGAATTCCTGTGAAGCCTGGAATTTTTTCTTAAAGTGTGTGGGAAGCAATCCTGCACATCACACGTCTGCTCAGATCTAAATGAGCCAGTCTAGTCTGTGTGGTCAAGTGTATACTTCATTGAATCCTTAGTGTTTCCCCCAGTGCTCGCAACCTGTTTGAACCCCCACACCAAGTGATACCTTTTGCTTATGCCTCAGAAAATTGTAGAACTGGTAAATACGATTGGGATATATATACTACTTTCCCCAAACCAAATAGTTTAGTTCAGGTAGTGCTGGTTGAAATATATGATATTACGTGTACAAACCCACCCACGTCACTGTGATCATTATATTAAATATCCATGGCCTGAAGCTGGAGTTTGCTGCCATGTGGATGTGAACATCTTCCAAAGTAGTGTCTTCTCTGTGGCAGGGCTTACTGGATGTTACTGGGGTGTCTGGGTTTTCTCCTAGTGATGCTCAGCAGTGGCATCAAGCAGCAGGAAGAGTTTACTTACCTTGCTCCTTGTTTGTTGCTAGCAACTGATACCTTTTTCTTGTTGAGAGTGTACTAATGGTTCCCATAAACAAGGAGACATTTTTCTCCTCCATTCCTCATGAATCTCACTTATATTTTTCACATATTCTAGAAAGTATTGTCTTTCAGAAGCTGCTTTTAAGTTCTGAAAAAAAGTGTAATTTTTGTTTTCCCAGTTCTTGAAAGATAAAATTACAGAGTGGAAAATGTGTGGGATTTTTTACTTTTCTTTTCTGAAAGATTGTTTTCTCCTGGATCCTCTTATATGTACAATTAAATGTAATGTGTTGAAGAGCACCAATTTAAATGCATTTTAGACTCTTTTTTTTGTCCCGAATAGCAAGCTCCTAAAATATATCTCTATATATGTGCATGTGTATATACATATATTTGGCAACAAGGCAATCTGTATTCCTCAGGTGACAGTTTTCAGAGAGAATTGGAACTTTTGTTTGTGATCAGTGCAGCGAAGGAGCTTCACTCTATCAGGGCTTAGAATCACAGAACAGTTTGGGTGGGAAGGGACCTTTCAAGGGCATCTAGTCCAGCCCCCCTGCAGTGAGCAGGGACATCTGCAACCAGAGCAGGGTGCTCAGAGCCCCGTCCAGCCTGACCTGGGATGTTCCCAGGGATGGGGCATCCACCACCTCTCGGGGCAACTGGGGCCAGGGATTCACCACCCTTAGTGTGAAACATTTCTTCCTTCTATCTAGTCTGAATCTGCCCTCTTTTAGTTTAAAACAGTCACCCCTTGTCCTACTTCAACAGCCCCTGCTAAAAAGCCTGTCCCCATTTTTCTCCTAAGCCCTTTTCAGCCCTGGCAGCTGCAGTAAGGTCTCCCCGGAGCCTTCTCTTGTGCTGAACAGTAGTTTGAATACTACCAGTGCTGCTTTGTCCATTGATGAAAGGATGGATGTTTTGGTGTTAGGTTTCCATTCTTAGGTGTCATCTCCACAGGGATTGTAGAGGAAAGTCAACAGCATAGCTGGTTGTAGGATTACTTTTGTGCCACTTTATGAATCTTGGCTCTGGCATTCTCTGCCCAAGTTTTAATATAATGTATCTCCTGTCTTCACAGTACAAAAAAATAGTCAGACGGCTTTTTCCATGTCTCTCACTTTCTCTTTCCTGCGCAAATGAAGGAAGGAAAGCTACTGCTGAGCTTTGCCCCAGGTACCTGGGAAAGGGTTGCTATTTTTTGTATCTCTCCACTGTACTTTCTCCATGAATCCATCCTTGGCGATGTAGCAGTAGTATTACTTCTGTTGAGTGTGAGAACACTGTTTCACTCTGCGTAAGTGTGTTGGGGCCACATTCTGCTATAGTTCCTTCTCTCTAGGTGTTTCTATTGCATGAACTGAAATGTTGCAGCTGTTGCTGTCTAATCTTCAGTTCTGTGTTCTTGTATGAACGAGGGCAAGTGAATTGTACTTAATTTTTATGGATTGAACTTCGTTTTGGTAGGAAAAAGAATGACTCAATGTTAAAAGCTTTGCTAAAGATCTGAAGGTCTTGCTTGGTATGCCACTGGTTTTGATCCTGGCAACTTGTAGAGGTTAGGCAACTCTGTGGAATTTGTTTGAGAACTTTTCTGTTTTTTAATAACTCAAAGGGAGGAAAAAAAACCCAACCCTGTAAGAATGCTGTACTTGAAAACCTAACTGCTTTGAAATTAAGGGGAAAATGAACCATAATTAAAAGCCGAATGTCTACATTTATGGTTTAAAACCTGGCGCAATTACAATAATCACTCGTGCTGTGTTACAGAAGTCCCCAGCATCTTTGGATAGTGGGAGGTGGGTCATGTTGTGTTGGATGACGATTATTCAGTACCTAAGAACTCTCTAATCAGTTGGTATCCAATAGAATATCCACCCTGCCTGTCAGCTTCCAGGAAGGAATACATTCTGATGACAGGCAGCCAGGTGGACAAATTTAGAAGGGTGTTCTAGTTTTATACCATTTGTTTTTAATTACTCTGCATGTTTTTAGCACTGTAACAAGAGACCACCTTTGAGAATAAGTTTAATGTTTTTAAAGTGTGTATGAAAGTGTAAGTTCGTTCTTTCTGAAACATGTTTCAGAGCAATTTGAGAGGAACGAATGCTTTTGTTTGATATCAAGAAAAGCCAGTCTACGTAATCTAATGTTGTCTTAGGATGTTCATCTGTAGGTGAAGAGCTGCCTCTGCTGTAAGCTCACTACATGGTAAATTAGTCTGATATACAGGCAAATTTGCAGGCATCTTAAGAATTTGTTTGATGTCTCTATCTTGAAGCATTTCCTATTGAAAAATTTTGAAATCATTTTTTTTGGCTGCTGTTTCTACCAATATCCTTACCTCCTCTTCTAGTCCTCAGGAGTTTGGGTACAGCTCAGACAAACTCAATAGCTCCCAAGAGCACGGTTCCACATGGGTTTTGAGCAGCGGACCTGGTTTAGAGGCTTCCCACACAGCCCTGCAGTTAATGTCAGGTTGATGCAACACGTCTTAGGACTGTGCCGCAAACGGTATTACCATCTAAATTTAAAAACAGAAAGAAGGGGGACTGTTTCCTCCACCATTGCCTCTCAGAAGGTCGCTGGCAGAGCTGTAGGTAGTTGCTGAGATGGGGTTGAGCAGGTGGGACAGAGAGCGCGTGCCGTGCCATGCCCTTTTTGACTTCAGTCTGTGATATTTTTATATAAGTCAGGTTACTCATCAAAAAACTTAATGCTTAGAAAGCGGCAGCGACTTTGGCAATCTAATTATGGCAGTATTAAATTTTACAGTATTTTTATATGAGAGCAGTGCTTGAACGGAGGCCATACTACTGACTTTTATAGGCTTAGTTACTGTTCAGGTTTCATTATGTTGCTACTTTCCTGTTTATTCTGCGGATGGTGATTTTCATACCTTTAATTACAAGGATGTAGCTGCATGAGCTCTGAAATCGTTCAGCCTATATTACATGCTATCTTGTACTATTTTATGTCTGCAAGCATTGAACTGGTTTGGTTTTTTGACTGGCTTTTACTTTGGGAATCTTCAGGAGGACTGCCATTCCTGTAGGTCAGACTGTATGTTAATTGAGTCTGTATAGAGGCTGTATGTTCTTCTCTAATATCCTGAGCAGTAGGGCCTGTAGTGATAGGACAAGGGGTAATGGCTTTAAACTAAGAGAGGGTAGCTTTAGACTAGATCTAAGGAAGGAATTTTTCACAATCAGGGTGGTGAAACAGTGGAACATGTTGCCTTTTTAGGTGTTAATATTGGGACACTTTCATGTTGCTTAATGTGGTTTTGGACACAATACCTGATTATTATTTGTCTCTTTTTCGTATCTGTTAAGGAAAAACACACTTCCCATGTATTCTTCTGTTTTGTTTTCAAGGATCAGTTACCCTGTACTGGTAGGTTTGTCGTGATACAAGTATATAAATGTCTTTTTATGTGATTGTTGGCAAGGTTCTGCTTTAGTACTTTATTGTTCTTTTCAGCTGATGGTTTTCATTAAGGCATACCAACAGGCAATTAATGAAGATATGAAACATTTGGTGTATCTGATGTGATTTTTGCATTAGCATAATAACATTAGTTAAAGCAAAGTGGTTGCTTACCTTGAGGTTAAATGCCAGGTTGAGGACACTTTATGCTTTTTAAAAAGATGTTATTTCATAAACCAAGTTCTTTCTGTAGACTGCCATTCTATGTGTATTTTCAGTGGTGTCAAGGTAAGCATGGCAGCCATTCAAGCCACAAAGATAACTGTAGCACAAATGATGTAGTGACACTATTTCACTTTGACAAACAATTCACTTTTGAATATTAGTTTCCTGTTTTATAGTCACTGTACTTCAAATGCATGTTGTCCTGCCTGATACTAGGATGACTGAGCACTGGAATGGCTTGTCCAGAGAGGTTGTGGAGATACTTAAATGTCACCTGGAGATGGTCCTGGGCAGGTGGCTCTAGGTGGCCATGCTTGAGGTTGGACAAGATGACTTCCAGAGGTCCCATCTCACCTCAACCATTCAGTGCTTCTGTGATATCTGTGTAAACGAACTAATGGATTGGTAAAATTAAGTGCTTCACAGAAATATTTTACTACTATTTTGTAATGATTTTTCACTTTTAAGTATAGGAACCCAATTGCCTGTGTAACCATTTTTCTTTCCCCTCCTCTCGTAGTGCTGACTTAAAGCTCTTGGAAGAAGCCACAATCTCAGTCTGCAAGTCTTTAGGTGAGAAATAGTGACATCTTAACTTTTTGCCACGTGCTTTATCAGAAAAGTTAAGAAACAGCATTCATGTGCACATCTATGTCTTCAGTGTACTTAACTCTACTTCTATGTGTTCCACTAGTAAGATTAAATTAGTGTAAAGAGTGTGTTTTTATATATATATATCTCCCAAACTTTTAGCAACTTCCATTATTAACTGTTTTGTAGAACTTGAAATAACTGAAAGGTTTTACACAAGTAATGCCATGCCTACTACCTCCTTTTCCCAGTGCCCTCTAAGCTGATCAGTAAGGGGAAAGAATTAATCAGAGGCTGAAAGGAAGGCATAATACAAACACGATAAACAGTGTTTCAGGAAGATAAAAGCTAGTTGTGAAAACTTGCCCAGTTTTCTGACAGGAGATTATTGTGCTGTACACAAGTCTTAGAAAAGAAGCAGTATGAGCTCCACATTTTGGATATTTTAAATCTAGGATGAAAAGTACTGTTTAGAGAACAATTATGGAGTCATAAGGCATGTACTGGAGAATCTTAAGAATAACAGCTGTACAGAAAAACAGATGTACTGTCTTTTATGTAGAAATATTTAAGACATTGAAATTTGGCTTTGTTCTATATATTGTTTGATCTAAATAGTGTCGACGCATGCTATATAATCATATCTTATTTTTCCTCATCTAGTCGAGAAGAATCCTCGAACAGGAAACCTTGGATCGTTGATTAAAGTCTTTCTTTCTAGAACCAAAGAGTTAAAAATTTCAGCAGAATGTCAGAAGTAAGTACCTGGAAAAAAACTGTGCATGCCATTTCCTTTTTCAAACGTTCCTTTTGCAGCTAGCTCTTGAGTTTTTTACTTTCTAGTTAACATAATCACAGACCAAAACTTAGAATTTTCTTAAATTAGTGTTTGAAACAGAGCAAGTATCTAGTACTTTTCCAAACACAGAAGCTTAAGTGTAATAGGTAAATAGATTGCTGGGGAAAAAGACATGTTTGTGGTCATCCGGTGTGTGATAAAAACACATTTGTATACAAAAATGATTTAACTTCTGGTTATTACTGGTTTAGAGCTGTTTAAAAATCACCTGACCTGTTTAGCTAAATCTTAATGTATGAGCCAGTATTTTGTTTTGGAAATATTTTAAATGGATTGTGTTTGAACACAAACTTCTATATAAAGACATTGCTTTCAAATTGTATCATGCAACTGCCATTTGTTTTGCTTGCCCCTTTCAGAAGTAGGAAAGAACTCCAAGAGCTTACTTGTGCAGCACTGTATAGTTTTTGCAGGAAGCTTTCTGTAATTTTTCCCTTGCAGCCATAGACAAATGTACAACTCTCATCAGATCTAGGGCTTCAAAGAGGAAGACTTTCTTTTTAATGCGCCCTTGCTCCCAGGACTACCCTCAACCTTTTTGCTTTTATCTGGAGAAAGAAGTTATTCCTGCCTGGGTAGCTCCTGCTGCTTTAATCCAAAAATACCTTGACAATACAGCTTCAAGCAAGATCTTGACCATATACTGTTGTATGGGCTTCCCAGCAGTTGCTTATTTGGACTCAAGAAAACTGTAATGAGGCTATATTCCCCTTGCGTTCAGAAATCTTGGAAAATACCTCTGTGAGTTGCATAGAAAAATCTTGCTATATTGTGCTTCTGAAGTCCGTAAATGCCTATGGTCATCTGAAGGCTATTTGACTGGGAAAAGCACTTACATTCAGGGAGCCAGAGTAGCTTTCATATTGAAACTGTTGGAAATTTTCAAATGTTTGGGTGGCTTGAGTCCATAGTACCTAGAAACCTTTAGAAGTGTGCTGAGCCATCTGGTGAGCTCTTTGAATGGCAGCTATGGTGTTTTTAACAATACAAACTCAGGAATATGATTGTACTCTCTTGGGGGAAGAAAAAAGTATTACTTTTACATACATTTCTAGTTTGTTTGTTGTAGCATCAACTGAAGACTGCCTGCTTGAGGACTTTGGCTTTTCCTTGCTTCAGCCGTAGGAACCCCTTTGTCTACTCTGGCATACGTTTTTTGTGGTTTTTGATGCATGTTCGCAGGTTAAGCATTACTGATTCTTCTTTGTTTCTGCTTCTTTTCTAGTCACCTCTTTATTTGGCAGGCTCACAATGCACTGTTTATTATTTGCTGTTTGCTGAAAGTGTTCATCAGTCGAATGTCAGAAGAGGAGCTCCAGCTCCATTTTACCTACGAAGAGAAAGCACCAGGCTCATACGGTAGGTATATAGAGTGCTAGTGAAACAAATAACCCGCAAGAAACGAAAAAGTTCTGCTGTTTGTAGGTGTGGTGCTTAGGGACATGCTTTAGTGGTGTACTTGGTAGTGTTAGGTTAATGGTTGGACTCAATCTTAAGGGTCTTTTCCAATCTAAATAATTCTATGATTCTATTATTCTATGTTTACTTAGACTAAAAATCCCAAACTTTGCTTTAAAACTAGAAATGAAGTACCAATGAGGTTACATACAACATGTTTACCGTTCGGGACAACCTGGAAGGTTGAAAATACATAGTCAGTAGTAAAACTGACTTCCTTCCTTTGGGGTCTGAAGTAATTCAGTGTAAACCATCTTCCTCTGTATCATACATGTGAAAGAGAACGCTGTCAAAATGTGACGAGAGCTTTTCGTTACGTATTGACTGTCATCTTCTGCTGGAATTAAATGTTAGTTAACAAGCTGTTGGCTTGTTTTGGGTTCTTACAGCAAAATAGACCTCTTCTGGTGCAGGAGTTGTTGGGTTTATTTTTTCCTTAAAGTTTTGTATTAAACTTAACAGGGTCATTTATTTACAAACTTCATCTGGCATTGTTTTAAATAATTCTTCGGAAGTGATGTTGTAGACCTACCTTAGCTTCAATCATTTTCATACAGTTTGAAAGGTATGGTTGAAAGAAATGGTCCTCTTCAGAAGAACAGAATAGAACTGGGGTGAAGCTGACCGCATACTACTGTAGGAATGGTGATGTTGCAATTACTTAGTGTTTCTTTTCACGTATGTTTCATAAACCAGCAGCAATCAGAGAGTGGAATGAATGCAATTTTTAGGAATCTAGTGAGAGAAGGTAACACTAATGTGATTACAACTGATCCATTGAAAAGGCAACTGCTAAAATTTAGTGGGCAGTAGTTTATACAAGAGTACAGAAAGGCAAAGCATTTATAGAATCATTTGGGTTGGAAAAGACTTTTAAGATTGAGTCCAACCATTAACCCAGCACTGCCAAGTCCATCACTGAACCATGTCCCTAAGCACCGCATCTACACGTCTTTTAAAGACCTCCAGGGATGGTGACTCCACCACCTCCCTGGGCAGCCTGTTCCCATGCTTGACCACTGTCTCCATAAATAAATTTTTCCTAATGTCCAGTCTAAACCCCGCCTGGCGCAACTTGAGGACGTTTCCTCTCATCCCATCGCTGTTACTTGGGAGAAGACACCAATACCCACCTCACTGCAACCTCCTTTCAGGCAGTTGTAGAGAGCGGTAAGGTCTCCCCTCAGCCTCCTTTTCTTCAGGCCAAAGAACCCCAGTTTGCTCAGCTGCTCCTTATAAGACGTGTGCTCTAGACCCTGTAGGCAGAAGGTTCAAAAATAAGTGCATCTTCAGGAAATGGAGCATGTACCACACAAGATGAAACATGGCAGAGATGATGCTCAAATAATACAGCTATTCTCTTTCTGCTATCCAGCCCTTCTTTTTGAATGTAGATAATTTGAATGCATTCAAAATCAGTTTGATTACAGCAAAAAGAAAGTCATAGCACTGACTGCCACAAATCTTTGTGTAGCAGCTTATCAAGGTGATTATGATGGATAATGCTGGCACAGGAGCCTTGATTTCCTTTGCTTTGTTGTAAAGATACTGTTGAGTTTGTAGTTGCATCTTATTTATTGCATAAAGCCAAAAATGGTCTGGCAAAAAGGTATCAGAATGCTCATACAGTGCAAGTGAAGTGTGGGAGAATAACCAAAAATATCAGACTGTGGATTTCCCTCAACAGTCTGTCCGGCAAGGACACGTGTTGAGAATGCCGAATAGCTGCTTGCTCATTGAATACTGAAAACTGTTCATTAAAACCTGTTTAACTCCTTGGTGCCTGCCGTTGCTGTGGGGATATCAGGCTTCTGGTGCCAAAAGACAAAGTGCTACATGTTGAAATAGTTTAATGTATTTAAACCGTGGTGAGTAATCTCCGAGAATGAAGTCAGCTAACCGATGCCTTAGAAAGGAACACCTGCTTATAATAAGCTACAGTTGCAGACTGCCTATGGGTTTATAATTGGTTTAAAAAACGTTGCCCACCTCTTGCTTCAGTGGTATAGTGTAGCACAGTAGAACGGATGAAAAAGCTGAGATGTTTTGTTAGCTTGAACCCTCGTGATCTTTATTCCTTATGCTGGGAGTTCCTTGCAGCATGGAATGAGGGGTGATTCTTGTCACTGGGGTAGATCCATATTGATATCATATCTAGTAGCACTTGACTAATTCACAGTGACATTTATTAGTGATAATTTTGTGCATATTGATGGCAAATGTACTTAGCAATTATCTTTGAGCAGATTGTTTGCTGGATGTTCTTGATTAGGAAGGTAATTGTGTGTGGTCTGCTGGTGAGAGCAGGGCATGGAGGCAGGAAATGAACTCTTCCTGGAGCCGTGGCTGGAGCCCGCCGCTGCTTTCGACTCGGGTTTCCAACTGGAGATGGTTCTTGCGACCTTCCTCAAGGTATTGAGGTTCATAACATGCTCTGTTTACATAGCCGTCATTTTTGGTTCCTGACAAATCTTCACATAAGTTTTTTAAAGTATTTATAGAGTGTGGTAATAAGGTGAATGCCTTCGTGTGGCTTTTATGCTTAGCTATAGGAAAAGTAAAGTATCATTAACAGAGTGTAATTAACTGCTGTTGTGTTAGGGCCTATTAATGTGAGAAGAAAAAAAAAAGAATTTTGTTTGTTTTTTCATAATTATGTCAAGTGTAGCTTTCTCGAATTTTTATTTTTTTTATTCTTCGGAAACTAGAGCATGCCTCGTTATTGTGAAGTTTACACAGCTTTATTAGTACTTTTACTGAATTTTTACCTACTTAACACTATCTTTTTGGGGAACATGCTTTTTTAAAAAATTTAAGAAGTTCTTAGTCATCCTTGCTGTCTTTTCAGTTATCAGAGCTTGATATAATTTTACTATTCTCCACCTACGAGCATGATAAAACAAATGTTATAAAATGTATTATTACATTACTTATAGAATGTAAAGAAACTATCCATATAGATAATAGTTGGTCTCTTCTCCCAAGTAACTAGTGACAAAATGAGAGGAAATAGCCTCAAGTTGTGCCAGAGGAGGTTCAGACTGGATAGTAGGAAAAATTTCTTCACTGAGAGGGTGGTCAAGCATTGGCACAGGCTGCCCAGGGAGGTGGTGGAGTCCCCATCACCGGAAGTGTTCAAAAAACATGTGGACGTGGCACTTGGGGACATGGTTTAGTGAGCATGGTGGTGTTGGGTTGATGGTTGGACCTGATGATCTTAAAGGTCTTTTCCAACCTTAATGATTCTGTGATGAAAGCTTTAATACTATGTCTGACTTTTGAGGTACTGTTTGCTGATTTTCTTAATGGCTGATGGATAGTTATTGGAAAGAACAGTACAACCAACCAACAGCACAACTAACCTCTCTTTCCTCTGGTCTGTTTTTGTATGCCTTGTTCAATCTCACAGCCTCCTGAGAAAAAGTAACTGTTCTTTTCAGGTTCATCTTAAAAATCCTTTGGAACCCACTGTGTGGGGGTGTTTGTTTCCGTTTAAACTATGAGCATCACTTCTTTTTCCTTATAGTCTGAGAATATATCCTAGTATCATGTTCTCTGATTTTAAATACAGCACTTGGGAACTCAGAGTGCCTAACTGCAGTGTCAGCACATCCGGCTGCTCACGCTGCAGTCGCTCAGAGCATCAGCACCCGTTGTGTGGTATTTGGTATGTTGGGCAGAAGTCGATAGTGTATGATAGTAATGATGTATGGAAAATATCCTTGTTACTGGCTACTCAGCAATATGTCTTGTATTTTGACAGCTTATATATGACATAGCCACTATGGTTCAGTTAGCATTTTCTGTAACTCTTATCTGGAAGAATTCTCCCATATGCATATGGGATTGCAAAGAATTCTCTTTTGCAATTCATATGCTTTCCCTTTTTCTGAATGTCCAGTTTGTGCTTTTCCCTGGTAGACAGCGTTTTCAACCCAGAAGAAAACTGTACAATTGTGTTTTGTGTCAAAAAATTCTATTATTGAGGTGCAAAAACTCTGCATGTTGTAGCCTACTGTTACAAAGTTGTAATGGATAAATTGCACAGGATCAAGTCCCTGCTAACAGCACTGTTTATTGATTTCCTTCAAGAATAGTCAGACCATTAGTAGAAGTTTGTTCCTTTTGACAGTTTTCAGAGGGTTCTTTTGCCCAGGAAGTGGACCTTTGCCTCTTCATCCGTACTTGGGATTTTGCGTATAATTTTGGAGGATATTGCACAATTTCGATTGTAGGAAAATCTTTATAGAGACTTAAACAATATTCTTTAGGATTCATCTGAAAAATGCTGATATTAATAAATCCTAAACTGGACTCAGCATATGCTGATCTGAAGCTGGAGTTTTGCCAGCACAAATCATTCATGTTTCCATGAGGCTTCTGTTGTCTGTATCCCATAAATTCTGCACGGTCTTTAAGTGTACTGTGATTCAGAGGTGTAAGAGAGCACATACTGTATATTGTACTTTAAATCAAACCAGCAATTAATTTAACCTGTTCCCTGACCTGTAGTAGGAAACTTTATTCATTCTCCGTAGAGAAGTTTTTATCGCACGGCTGAGAACTGCATTTGGTGTAGTATAGCCAATAAGAGGACATAGAGGAGGGAATAAATAACAATACATTTACTGCAACCCTTAAATGATTTCCTATCGTATAAAGGAAATGAGGGATGGCAATTAGTTTATGTACTCATTATTAACACTCTTAAGTGAAAGTTGGGAGCTTTTGAGAGTCCTCAGAGCTAAAGATCAAACCACAAAACCTAAAGAAGCTTTAAGTCTACTGGTTGTGTAACTAATTGAATGGGTGAGGCTTTAAGTACTGCTTTACAAGTAATAAATTATTTCATTACTGATGTACAGGTTCTATCCTATCTGTAGGAGGAACAGGGCAGAAAAACAAGTAGCATCTAAGGCTAGGCTGCACCTTGCTATGCCTGAATATCTTAGTAACATTAAGCACATCCAGCTGCTACAGCAGCTCAGATCAGGTCGTGACAACGTGGTGGTTGGGTTCTTGAGAAGAAAGACTGTTTTACTGTCTCTGTTAGACCCTGTATCATGGCCAAGGATGGAGCTGGGCTGCTTTTACTAGAATTGGAGTTTCCTGGCACGTATACTTTCCTCTGGATGAGCCATTTTGCCTGTGTAGTGTCTGCTAATGCAGTGTTTGTAACATGCATAGCTTTTTCAAAAGCTAAACACAAAGTATTATTTTTTTAATGTAAAAAAAAAAAAACCCAACAAAATGCCAAACAGCCCAAACCAAACAAATCCCACCAAAAACCTCACCATGCAAGTAATTCACATGTTTGAGGACTTAAATATGGCTGATGAAAAATGGTGCCGCAGCGTAACTGGACTTTTAAAAAGCTGTGTGTGTTTGCAGTTACTTCTGCAGTGGGATAGAGTTTAGAAGATGCACCTATGATTCCTGTCTCTGCAAGTCTGCTTTAATCTTATCTGGACAGATTCACCCTTTACTTATTTTCCCCAAGGCTTTACATGCGTCTTTGATCCAAGTATGTGATCTATTAATGTGAATGAGTATTGTGTGTATTGTCTTTATCCTGCTATTCAAAAAGACATTGTTTATGAAAACACATAGTGTTCCATGTTTATAGCCTGCTCTCACGTTATAGATTTGGCATGCATCCGCCTCATTGTCTTGGCAAGACAAGGATTAAACAAGAATGCATATGCCCCAGTGGGAAAAAGGATACATTAATTATTGTAGCTGAATGACATTGATTAGAGCAATTAAGCTTTTTTTTAAAAAACAAAAATAGTTTGAGACCAGAGCGGGAAAGACTAACATCTTCCATTCTACGTGATTGTGCTAATCTGATATTTTCTTGCTTTATTTTGGATATAGTGTGGGCAAAAAGCCCTCTTTCATATTCAGATAACATAATTCAAAAAGAGTTGTGTATATAGCATAGTAGAAGAAACTATATTCTTAAAATGCACTTTTTTCATCCTTTTTCTTCTCTTCTCCTCCCTTTCCTCAATTGTCAAGAGAAAAAATTGGGTACCTTCTAGAAACTAATAGCAGTCTTGCTTGATAAGCATTTTCTAGATTCAAAAAACCTTGGGAAACAGTTGTGTTCAAGTTACTTCAGAATACATTATCTGGGCTTTATTATTGGCGGTGGTTTCTGTCGAAGGTTAAATACTCCTAACAGTTCTTGATTTTTACTAACAGGAGCTGCATTGTGTTACTCGTGGGGGATTCTATATAAAGGAAACCATGTTTCCGTGATAAAAAACTGATTTCCTTTAGAACGTGCAGTTCACTAGGTGACAATTTTTAACATGTTTTTAATAAACTGACTGTGGAAAGAAACAATTTTGCTTTATTATGAATATTCCCTCTGGTGTGCTTCTTAAAATTGAGTTCTGGATTTAAGAACAAAGTTGGGTTAAACAGAGTAACACTGCCATATAACCTGGCTATAATGTTGTGTTTATTGCAGGATGTATTTATTTGAAAATACAAAATAAACAAACATTTGGGTAATCATTGTGCTGCAAATGCTCTGATGCCGATCAGGTAATGCAGAGGGAAAAAATATGCCTGCTCTTGGGCCATTCAGCACTGTAAAACCCTGCATTACTTTGTGTTGTAGGTTTCTCTTTATAATTTTATTTTGAAAGCAGAAAAAATCATAATGAGCCAAAAGATTTATCTTATTTTGTTTTGGTATTATATGACAACTTAAATGGTTCATTAAGCTTTTTCCTCAGTAAGTCTTGCAAGTCTTTTAAAAACTGCAGTGCTAATGTAAAATACCAGCAATTTTATTGCTTAGAATAGTTGCATTTTAAAAATAATTTTAATCATCCCATGCATTTTGTCACATTGTGTGTGAGTAGAGAATAATTTCTGCTCACTTAAAATGTACTTTGGAAATTCATGAATCCTTACTTGTCATTGAAATGTGTAAAAACTCTTCAATAAATAAATGTGTATTCATGAAAAAATGCGTGTAGATTTAATTGGTTAAGAGCAGCAGTGATGTGTATAGTGGGCTGCATTCAGTTGACAGATCACAATTTAGAATGTTGTTTAGGGTATGTTAGACAAATGAAACTGTTTTCTATCTGTCTCTGATTATTCTTCACTTGGGATTAAAAAAAGAGGTGGGAAAATACGCATGTGCAGGGGATTTTGAGAGGAGACTTGAACTGTGGACAAGTGAGAAGTCGCTAGTGATCAGTTCAACTGTTGGTCATAACAGCATTTTGTATGAACTTAGGTAAATAGTGAAGTAAGGCTTGATGTGCTTAATATTAGTGTACTTCCTACAATGCCAACATCTCAATTATCCAGTTGTTACTTGTTTTATGTATAAAAGGCTTAGTAGCACCATTTCCTCTGATGATAATCTCAAGTGCTTTCTATTTCAGGATAGAATGCCATCTTCTTAAACGGGTAGAATTTCTCTTCCAGTGTTTGTTCCTTAATAAAGTATTGATCGTCTGGATCTGTGTGTTTAAATCTTTGCTTTCTTTCGGTATTTGAAAATCCAGAAAACCTTTGGTATGCTTCTTTTCAGGAGCAGAGTGCGAAGACCTCATAGAAGAGTTGCTGTGTTGCCTCATCCAGCTCATTGTTGAAATTCCCCTCTTGTAAGTTGGCTTTTTTCCTTTTTCAGCCTCCTTGTATTCTCTCCAATGCTCAGTTTGTACAAAACTAGGTGGGGTTATACTATTTAAATACTTACATTTGAATGCTCTATGTGATGGTGCAGTACTGATAATGATAACCTGCTGCCAAGTACCAGCCCTGAATACGCTGTTGGAAGAAATACGTGATCAGCACCTCGCGCCCAGTTCAAACCATCAACAGAAGTTACCCTGTTTTATTTTGTAGGAGCTTTAACATTTGTTTCAGGTACCTCTGTCAGCACACAGACAGCTACTGCTAACTTTTGGCTAAAAATGGTTGTGAGGAAATGTGGAGGGAAAGGTACATTGTAGGTGTCACTTCATCTCTGGGGGGTGCAGCAAGGTGCACACAAAAGTTCCTCTTCTGCAGTTGTGTTGGTTTTTGAACTGTGTGTGCATTAAAAAGTCATTATTTAATACTAATTTCTGAAATACCAGTGAATTGATGTCTGAAGAAGAGAGAAGAGAAATGACTAAGTGGAATATTTCTGTAGATCTCCAGATTTGTTTACATGGCTTTTTCATGCACCTGCTGTATCTGAGATATGTTGATTCCTCATCCCATTGGGATATGTGTCATGAGACGTACTTCAGTATTACATGAAGGAGGACTTTGTTCTTTGGAAATAAAAATGTTTTCCCACACCTGTCCTCGTGAGTTTTAACTTTTTTTTCCCCCCAAGATAAACTTTACTAAAGATACTGTTAGCATTATCTTTTGTGTTAAATTGCATTGTAGTCTATGCCTAAAATGTAGTGCCCCAATTAATCTGAAACTCTTTCAAAGCTGTGATGCTTTATCTATTATAGTGTAGTATCTAGCTCTGCTGATGATGTAGTTTTTGTACTTTGGTTTGTTCTTATGGTTGGAAAGCTGACAAAGATGCAATAGTTTTTGAAACATTGCTCTCATTAAATACAAGTCTGTCAACATTACATGAGAGTTTGGGTAGGTAGTGTGTAATGAATTAGTGATATGATTTAGAGTTTCATTCTGCAAAGCTTGTCAGGACTTCCTGGAACAGATACACTTTTTGTTTGGAGCAGATCAGAGGAAGTACAAAGGGGTGAAAGGACTGAGATATATGGGCAAGTTCATAAATCCTGTAGGGTTTTATTTTTCTTTCTTGGAAGTTCCAATGTGTGTGTGGAGTCTAATAACATTTATTCTGCCTTTCTGGCAGAAAAAGTTTTACAGGCATGATTGTTCTTAACCCTTTTCAACAAGTGAACCTGTCAGCGTCTCTATGTGAATGTTGTTGCTGGGGATGGAAGTAGCTGTTGAAAGCTCTTAACTTACTGTATAAATATAGTGATAATAATGGCTTATTAAAAAAAGAAGTTATAAAGCCTGTGTATAATCTTTAATGTTCAGCTATATTGAAAACATACTCACTTTTCATAAGAGAGAGACATGGAAGTGTTTGGGGGGTTTTGGTCAAGTAAGTTTTCTTAGCTAAATTTTTCCTGAAATAGTATGCTACTGAATTCTTCGTAAGATACTGACACTTACAAAACTGTATCTTATTGTCTTGCTTACCAGTATAATATGTTTAACAGTGTGATAATTCCTTAACTAACAATTTTATCCTGGTATCATCGAAGGGGAAGTAGGGTAGGGGAAAGGAGATGCAGGAAAAACTTGCGTTCTCTGATGCACAGTCCAACTCTGTTCTTCGAAGAGATGTTATAAGGCTGAGGCATTTTTGCTTACCGTAATATTAAATTTTTTTCAGCAGAATGATCAGGATCATTTTAGTAGCGAGTTTACTTTTTACTTTCCTGATCAGATTTACAATATAAATTCCTTCCCTACTTTATATCAAGAGAGTAGTTCACTTCTGTCTTTAGCTGGAATAAATCAAGAAAATTACAAGCCTAGTATGTGAATTTTGGGAAGGAATAGGTTGTTTGAGTAGAATACATGAAATATTCAAACTTGTAATGATTTCTGTAGCAGGAATTAAAATCACTTGCCAGAGGACAGGCAGCTTTGGCAGCGTACAGTGGCACTGCTAATAGAGTGTCTGTTAAGCTGCTATTAAAGATGAATTTTTGTTGTGACAGACCATTAAAATCTCCATACTGGGTCTGTCGTCGAAGCGTCATTCAGAATAGCAAAGTTTTAGGAGCATTCAATAGCCTTAACAGAGGATTGTCACAATTAGTGTGTCCCTTGGGTTCTGTAGATGCAGTTTCATGAAGGAGTGGATACAGCTGGCAGCTGCTGTCTAAATATATAAATGTCTTCTCCACACCCCAGTTCAAACTTCTTTTAGTATTTCAGTGAAGAAGGAAAAAAAGATTATTTTTGAAGCATGGAAGACCATCTCTGTGTTCAAAATGCAAGAGCAGAAGTACCTGTGCAACTCCTTGCTTTTGAAATGGTTCTAAATGTCATGTCAGGTGCTTTTTGGTGGAAGCAGTACACTTCAGGGGTATTATAATTCAACCCCCAATATATAAAATTTTAGATGTGCTGTCTTAATGTGATTTTTTTTTCAGAGTGGGTTTTTTTCCCCCCAAATGTTTTATTGAAGAGTGGACAGCATTGTTGGATGATGCCGTGTAGATAACGGTTATGGAATGGTGAGAAATTTGTGATTATAACGTAGCTTATATTTTTCTTCATTATTGAGTATCACGTTGTGACAATGTATATGTAAGACACAGGTACTGTTGAGAGGAGAGCTGAGGATACCTGCATGTGGTAATTTGCGGGCAGGTCCATAATCTTAACCTACGTTCCAGACTGACCAAAAGCATGCAGAGGAGTTTGGTCTTGGCAGGGGCACCGAGTTCATGAAGACTCAAGTCTTTTCTGAGCATGGGCAGAGCTCGCTCTCACCTCTGAGCTTGCTCTACTAGAAGCCTTGGCAGAATGAGCTCACGTCTGCCTATAAAATAACCTACAGACATACTTGGAAAATGCAGGTGGGCAGTCTAGCTCAAAATTAATAAGGAAGGTGTGTGAGATGGGCAAGATGACAAATCGTAAGTCTGTAACCCACCTCTCTATATCCCTTCCTATGAAATGTAACTGAAGAACCAAAGTGTTTTGATTTTTGTTGGGAAAAGCTGCAGAGGTGTACAGCAAAGCATATATAGGAGTGTCTCAATTGTCTACAACGAATTTAAGAAACAATTTTCCAAAGTTTGTATTGGGAAAGGAAAATGTGCTTTAAGAAAGTTACACCCAGCATAGCTAAGAGAGGTTGTAGTAGGGACCATGGGACTCTGCAGCATTGTGGCTCTGTATGAGAGTTATTAAAAAGATCTTGAATTACCCTTTTGAAAAGCAGGCTCTGCTGCGTTGTACAAAATGCCAAGGAAAAAGGTTTCATGTATTAACATTTAATTTCAAGAAATTTTATAGAAACTACAGCATTATTGCTTTTCAAGAATTAGACTTGTGCAGTACCTTATAACACTTGTGTTATGGTATGTTGATGTTTGATTTATGGCTCCCTTGGGTATGTTATGGATACTCTGCTTGTTCTTTGGTTTTGTTAATGTTAGCACTCGAGAGTGTACATTAATGACTAAAACTGCATAGTCAGCAAAAAGGTGCCAGTTCAGTGTTTAATTGTATGACTTTTATGTAGAAACTATTGCTAACATTTTGTTGTGAGATAGAGCTCCCAAAGCTTTAAATTATAAAGGCTTCTTTCAGCGGCCTGTTAAGAGCTGGTACACATAACTGAACATCTGGTTGTTATCAGTACATTTTCACTTCATTAAAAATTATAAATGCATATGGAGGGAAAATGAAATATTGTGATCTAGTTACATCACTGTAAAGTAGCACCCTGTGGTGCCAGGAGAAGTTAGTTGATATTTCTATTACATTCCATTATTTTCTGTATTTAACAATTGTTTTAGGTTGCAAACTTAGTCACCTCCAAATTTAAATGTTAGCAATGTTTTGACTCATTTAAGGATGCTCTATATATTCTGGGAGCTTAAAAGTCATATGGAGGTAGAAGGAGAGCGATATAATTGATTCTAAAGCACTATGGAATCATGCAGTGTAGGAACGTTGTCACGCACAGATGATGAGAAACGTTTAGGCTTTTTTTCCTTGCTAATTGGGGGTAGCAAAGAGGTTAAGAACTGCTTTCACTCCTATTTTGGGAGTGTCATGTTTTAATTTTTTTGTGACTTCCAAAACAATACGTCAGAATAGTGCTGCTTTAAAAAAAGACTATTTTATCAAGATTGTAGTAGCTCCAGTATTTGATAACTAGACAAAGTTGCCAAAAATGCTGAAGTCAAATAGCTCTTCAAAGGGAAACTTCCATCTGTTGAGACTTAGGTTGAAGCTGGGAAAAATAGCCAAACTGAAAGAGATTCGTATTCCTTCACTTTGAAGATCCTCAAAGTTTAAGACTGTTGTGCTCTATGTAGGAGGGATCTGATGAGTATAAAGGGAGTTTTATTTGCTGCTGCACCTTGTGTGGTGGTATAGCAACTACAAAAATACTTATTTATTTATTTATCTGGAAGATTTTCTTCATCACTCTTACAGCCTTTTCTCTTTTCTGATGGTAGATGTGTGGCCTCTTAAGTGTTTAAAGGTCCTAAGCCGGAAAATCTTTATCTGTGTCACATTCTTCTTCCTGTTCAAATTTAGTTTTTCGATCTCGGTGTTTCTCTATGACCTGTCTTTTTACTAGACTAGCTTTAATTTACACTGAACTTGTAACAAACTTTCTAATCCCGGAGGATAGTATTGGAGGTCTGCACTGTTTGTCATACATCATGCTGTATATTTAAGATCCTAATCTGCTTTCTCTGTTACAGTTTTCAGCCCTGTTTTCACTAAAAGTATTGGATCTTGAAAAACACCTGCTTGCTAGTATTTGGGTTTGGGCTTTGGTCTGGGCAGCAAAGGCACCTAGGCACTGAAGTCAAGCATATCTCTTTCTGGGACCTTGCAGAGTGTTTCAAATTGGTGGCAGCGACCAGGCTGACAGGCATAAACCTCTTTTCTCCATTGCCTGGAGAAGGATACGACCCACAGAGATTATTGCTGCTGCTCCATCAAGATAGCTCTGCCTTGAAACCAGCACATTTGAGAAGTGGTGTTACAGGGAGACTGTGGAGCAGGTCTGCCGTTCACACAGGCTGCATGGCTGGAACACACGACGTGATTCCTGTGGTCTGGCTCTGTCCAGATCTCTGCAATGGTCTAAGGTAGCTTTCTGAGCACCGGGGTCATCTTCTCTGTGGCTGCCTTTTCCCTGGAGCTTGGAAGCTACGCAAGCCCAGTTACTGGAGCTGTCCATTTTTATGGGTGTTTGGACTGCTCTCTTGTGTTCCCTTGTTCAAAAGGTAAGGTCCTTCACTTAGATTTAGCGGGTATTGCTAACAAAGCTTGTTGATATGAAAGGGAAGTACAGAAGAATATAGATTCTCTGTGCAACATTTAAAAGTCCTGGACTTTCTCGAATATTTTTAATCTGTAGAGGGAAGAAATGAATGCCGGTGAGGTTAAAACGTACACAGCCACGTGGCCTGAGAGAGTTTAGGAACAGGTCTAGGAATAAAGAGTGTTGAATCCAACTGTCATTTTAACCCTTTAAATACTCCTTTTAGAGTATTTCAATCTTTCTTGTTTTTTTTCTCTCTCATTCTGTCGCCCAATCAAAAATACTGAGCATGGGGGAGATGTAGGAGGAAATGTCAGAGATGCTGTCTGCTTCCAGTTAGTGTTTCTTGAGTGCCCCTTTGGGACATCTCCCAAATGTTTGGAGTCAGCTGTAATGAGCATAGTGCATTATTGGCTGCCACGATGCGTATTTGCCATCGATGGGTGTAAAATTAGGAGTGATTCCAAGAGGAAAGATTATGTTCACTTTGAGTTGTTGTACTTGTATCCTGAGACTGATAACCAGATATTCTTCTACTTGCCTTTCAGTTTTCAAAACTGATCCCATTCTCTGTGGTGACTCCTCTTTCACCTTTCTGGTGGGCCCTCAGGAAGCGGGGAAATGAAACCTGGTTCCTGTATGATTTGAGAGTTTTTGTATGAATCAGCCCTTTTGGCAACTCTCCTAAATTAGAAAATAAGTTACCTTTTAACCTTTTAATACTTAGAGTAGACAGCTCTGGCTGGGTGAAAGTTCAGGAAAATATTTAAACTGGGAGGGGGTTTGGTGTAGTGGTGTGAGGTGAAATGCAGAGATTTGTTTCTGACTGTTCAGCCTGTTTTCTCTGTAGGTGTGAAATAATTTATGAGCGCTCAGCCTCTGTTTGCTAAGGTATAGAAATAGCTGCATTTCATGGAGTAATTAAAGTGTTTACAACAACATGTACCTTCAGAGTAGTAATTGGATTTTCTAGCTGGGATTTTCCTATATATTGCCTCTATGCTTCATATTGGTTCCTCTTTCACAGACCTCTCTCTCGCCGGCAGGGAACACAGCTGAATGATGTGGTGAGCGCAGAATGCGGTTGTGAGCAGTGCTTGGCGTTGGAGCAAAGCCAGCAGCGGCAGGATGGTGACACATGGGTAGATTGTTGAAGTTCTTAGTAGATGATGCTGATAGAAGGTCATCCACATGGTTTTGAATGGAAAAAGCAGATGCCAGGACACTGGGGGGCTGAGGTTTTAACAGGCCCATAGGTCTTGTTCTGTGGGGAGTGAGTGCATCATTTGGAAAGACACTAATACATCCCCCTCACCAACTTAGATACGTAAGCTGCTTGTAGCATCAGAGTCCTGCAAACTGCTCTTACTGCTTTATCTTGAGCCTGCAGGAGTAGACAAGGGTATTTTGGGTTTTGTGTTTTCCCACAGGCTATGATTGACAGATGACCTTGTTATTATGACCATCATGTTTTGGTCTGCTTCAGACTCCAGCATTTTCTTTGTAGCTTGGAAGAAATCTACTTCGAAACCTAGTGGTGTGTCATGGTGTGGCATCTGTTTGCTGTGTGGTACCATTTAGTGTCAGCACTTGTCTGGGAGTGCAAGCAAGTAATGGTGAGTGTTCAAGCTATTGCAGTTGGAAGAGTTATTGCTCAGGCAGGTTGCCTTAACTGGCTGCTTGTGTGTGTTCTTTTCCTGTTTCTACCACAAAGAAGATCTTTTATTTTTGTTAAAGGTTACTGTTTTGACCATAGACCTCTTTTTCAGACATTTGGAGCTTCTTAAGTGCAGTATCAGCTTTGTGATATATTTGAAATAAGTGTCTGTAAAAGGGCAAGGTGAAATCTTGGTCCAGTTCCAGCAGACAACACCTTGCAAGGGTGTGATACGCAGATAGATGGTCTGGTGCAGTCCTCCAGCCCCAACCGCCTGAAGGTTGATAGCTCTGGTAGAATTTACAAGTCTGCCACCACAATTAATAAATAAAATAAATCAATAGAAATGTATGTTCTTGATGGCAGACCAGAAGAGGAGTGATGTTCTTTTGGTTTGTATCCTGGAAGAATTAGTTACTTATAAATTTCTTCTAAAGCAGTACTTCTTTTAAGTCTATGTGCAGTGCTGCTTGGAAGCAGTACTCCCAGGGCCACAGGTGTCTCAAAGAGGAGCCCAGGATCTCTGCTATCTACCTGACAAAGGGGATTAAGATGAAAGTGTTGCTCACTTACTGGAATTTTTGTCATTTGATTTTAATGAGTTGTTGTGTAAAGATTACTAGAATACAAATTGTATGTATGTGGTGGTTTAATTTAAGATGATCTGGTATCATTGCTTTTGGAAGGAATCCGTTGACGTATCAACTGTTTCTCATTGAAATATAGATACTAAAGTGTGTGTTAAATACATGCACACATTTATGTTATGCTAGCATCTAGGAATCTTGCATTTTGGAGCTCGAGTCATCATTCTCTGAAGAATTCATAGTTTAAGATAATCATGGATATGTATGACATGCCTTTGCTTTAGAGACTAAATGTGTATATATAACATTTGTTGCCAGAAACCGGTTTTAACTGGGGTATCACATGCAAGCACCTGGATTTATTCAGTCTGGTTAAAGAAACAGGCACTTGCTTTGTGTCACTGTGTAAGAAATGTGATACCAAGCAGGACAGCTACTTGTAATAAGGAAAGAACCCGAAAGCAGGAGAGAAATGATTGCCATGATTCTAGAGTTTGGTCTATGCCAGATTGTTCCCTCATGAAAGGAGTAAATCTTAAGAAGGACAAAAGAATAGTATCTGTTAGCTTGTCTACCTGATACGGGAATATATCCTCCAGTAGGAAGTAGAGAGAAAAAGAGGAAAAATGAGGTGAGAATAACTATTGAAATCTCCAAAAGAGAAAATCCAGAAGGAGCGGGAGGGAGGAAAAGACCTGTATATGCTTTGGTATGTTGCTCTATGATGTCCATTTACATGGGACATGAGCTTTATCTGAGTTCTGTGGATTTTTTTATTTGTTTCAGAAGACACTTGGGAAGAAAAAAAAAGCCCACAGAAACTCAAAACATCATGCAGTTCTCCTGGTTTTCTGAAATAAATAGCTAAATAATTTTGACATGTAATTGATACATGAGTTCATTATTCCTAGTTTCCTCCTTATCTGCAAGCAAACAGTTTTCAGAGGAAGTTGGAGATCAGCATAAATTCCATGTAAAGTCATTCTGTATGACCGCTAGCTTTGAATAAAATAAAAAAAAAAATTCAAACACAAACCTCCCTATTCTATAGTATCTCAATATAAATAAACAGTATTTTCTTTGAAGTTAAAAGAGGTTCCTGGTAGTTCTTGTGACCCTTTAGAAATGCTTGGGTTTCAGAAAACTGTACATTTGACCCTTGATGGAGAAAATAATTTTGCCCTGAAGCTTTATCCTTGTGCTGATAAATTAAGGGTGACGGTAGCTGAGGGGTTACCCCAGCTATCAGGACTCTGGTTGTGTTTATGTCAAAGCAGATTTAATTTGAATAGATTCTACAGGTTGAGTGGAATGTTTCTGCAGTTAAATGTGCCCTAACTGGGTTTTGAATAGCAAGAAAATTGGAATAACTCACTGGAGCTCCATGAATTTCGCTTGCTTTCTGTTTTTTTTTCTTTCAGAGTTATATAAGGGTATTGAAAGCAGATTTTTTTTTTTCCAAAAAAATATTACTTAATACATTACAGTAACCTCTTTGTTTATTTCTTTACACTAAATCTTATAAAAATAGAGAAGAATTTTGTAATGTCTCCTCAGATTTGCTATTCCACTTGTATGTTTTTTCAGAAAAATAAATGAATGATTGAAATGGAGAAATAGTAGACTCTAAAACTTGTTTCCTCTCAGCACAGTAACCCAGTAGATGTTGTAGCGTGTCGTGAAGCTAGCCTTTTCCTTCTGCAACAGGGTTGGAGACATTCTTGTATTCTCAGCCTTGGAAATTATAAACTTCAGAATTTTTTTTTTCTGTAGTTAAAAAGTATTTTTTCCAAGTCGTTGTTTTTATTTTGATAGAAAAACATTTCTTAATTTTTTGGCTAAACCGCTAGTAATCAGTGTATATATAGGTCTTTGCTTGGGATGAACCTAGGAACCATCCCCTAGGATGAACCTAGGGAAGTGAATTGCAGCGTCACTGTGTTGGAGCGGGAATGGGAGCGGGAGCCGTTCCCAGCTCAGCCTTGCTTCTGGCTGAGGTGAGTTTGCAGTGGAGCCAGATCACAGTGTAACCTCTGGCCTGATCTAGTTATCAGCATTTACACTGGCTAACTTCCTCAGTAGTGGGCAAAAAGTCAGGTAACTCACAGAAACTAAAAATAATTAAAATGTACTTCATGATTTTAAGGAAGCATGTTATTCAAGCAGCATGCCTCTTTCTGACCTGTAACTTAGAATGTTATGGATTCAACTACTTAAATCGTGCGAGAGAAAATAAAAACACCGAGTTTGCATAACCTTCACTTTCAAAAACACTTTTGTATCTGAGGTAGTGCGGTTCTGTGGACTGCGATCCTGGAAATTGTGATTCCAGTTTGCTGTTGACTTTGAGCAGGTAACTAGTACTCTCTCTGCTCAGAAACTCTGGCCTAGAGTTACTGCAGAAGAGCTTAACTTAAGCTGTCTGTACACCATGATGCATGAAACTCTTCTTCCTTATCCTTTACCGTAAGGCACGTTATTTACAGTATTTCTAGCAGCACACCTGAGAAGATTGAAGTATTTGAGTGTGCTAAAAATCAAACTGACTTCTGAATGAAATCCTGTTCATTTTGGTAAGGACCGTATGGGTTCTGAGCCTGAGAGTTTTACTGCAGTTAGTGTTTTCTGTGGTTAATTTATTTTGTTTCAAGAGAGATTGCACTGTACTTTTCAAGTCGTCATTATTTGAAAGAGCACTTGGTTTTTTGTTTATACTTGTTCTAACTGCCAAGAATAAAAGGTGTCACTGTAACAAATTAAAACTTAGCATCACTGCATAAACACACACTGATTTTTTTTTTTTTTAATTTTGAATAGAGATGCTATAAAATATTTGAATTTCGGAAGTATAAATAGATTCTGAATTTCCAGTAGGTTCCAGGTCAAAAAATCCTTGATAATTGATGCCTGTTGTAACTTGATGATACTGGATTGTGAAGCATACTGTTGGAAATTAAATAGTAACTGTGGGGGAAACATTAGAAGTACTTAATAACAACCTTTCTAATGGATTAGAGGATGGTACTGTTGCACTGAATGAAGTATCTCCTTGCTTTTGGAGGGGTTAAAAATAGTCTTTGGTTTAAAGCAAGAAGGATACTGGTTCATGTCCAAGTTATTTCATTGCATTTTAAAAAGCTTCATGTAGTCTGCAATTTATTACTCATTAAGGATGCATTTTAAAAATATTCGATGTATCAAGGTATCCCAGATAGTGGATCTTTCTCTTACCCATTTTGCTGCACAGCCTTTCCCAATTAACCTTAGCTTAATGATAAACTCTCTGGTGTCAGTATTTAATCATTACAGCACATTCTTTGGGATTGGCTGTAATAGCTTGAAACTTTAGACTTCACTGTTACCTCAAAAATACCATTTAAAACTGAACAACTGTATGTAGTATCGTGATATTCTGAGCATTTCTTACACTTAAACTAGCATTTGTGTATTCTGTTCCTTTCTTAGGGATCCACTTTTCCTGGCGGATGGAGCAGTGTTTGGCTAGCTGGGTATTTCTCTGACTTAGCATGATGGTTTTGTGACAACTTTATTTAACAGGACAAAGGACATGCTTTTGAGATCTATTTATTATTTTTAGAGTGAAGTGTAGTCTGAATGTTGCAGCTGTAATGTTCTGGACAATACCTCAGTGTTTTTACATTGTCTTGTCTTTTGGCATATCAGGGGAAAAAAAAAAGCATATATCTGAGAAAAACAGCCCATTGTTGGTATAAAGTGAGTTTGGTTTCTTAATTTGTTGTTTACATGTTCCCAGTTGAAACTGACTGTGCTGAACAGTGTATAACCTCGAGTGAAGCTACCAGGTGTTCTTGGAAGTTAGTTTGTAAACAAACCCGGTAGATTAATCTTTATTTTTCCTTTTTTTCATGCAGAGATATTACATACGGCATTTCCTTGGAAGCTGTGACAACTCTCATTGTCTTCCTCTCCTGCCAGTTATTCCACAAAGAAATTCTACGAGAGAGCATCATTCACAAATACCTGATGCGTGGTCGATGGTATGTCGTGTTGTGGGGTCTAAGGCAGAGCAAATGCTTTTGATGGCTTGTTTAGACTGTTTGTTCTTGAAAACAAAAGACTGTAAAATACATTTTGATAGAAAACTTGTTCTGCTCAAAAGAAAACAGAACACAAAAGCAAACATCTGTAAAGTATGATGGAAGGTTTCAGGTTTAAATCTCACAGCCCAGACTTCAGTAAAACTATTTTGCTAATTTTTATTTTTTCGTATAATTTCATTAACTTAAAACAGCTTTTACTTTTCAGGACGGATTTTTTGATCCGGCTATGGGTCTTTTCCCGTAACATCACAGTCTAGAGAACACATGCACCTCAGAAATGCTAATGAGCCTCTTGCGAAACAAATAAAAAGCAGCCCCTCGAAAGATTGCACATATGTGCTACCTTGAGTTTCAAGCTGCAATAGTGGAAATATTTAGCAGGTGGTAAACTCGGTCGTATGAGTAATACCACTTGTTCTGGCGAGTCGGTTGCTTTGTTTAAATGCTTTGTCACGGTGGCTTATACGCATTTTAGTCAGGCTACCATTCATTCTCTCCCAACTTTAAATTCCATGTGGGGAGGTTTTTGGTAAATGTACCTATTGCCTGGTTTTCTGAAATTTCTACTAGATGTAAGGGAGAGGAGGGAGGCACAGCTTGGCTGCGGGCAGAGGGAGCACAGGGCAAACTTCAGCCTGAAACAGCAGCAAGGTAGAGGCAGAGCCTCAGTATCTGTGGGATCTGGTGGTACTTAAATCTCTGGACTGAAGGAGTTGAGGGTTTGGGGCAAAGTGGGGAATGTTTGGGAGAAGAGGGAGTATGTGGTCTAAGAGGTCTGGGTTGGGAGTAGCAGAGGAGTTGGAGGGGTAGTGGTTAGAGGGGACTGGAATTCATTGTAACAGAGCCCCTGTCCAGCTTTAATCCTATGGAATGGGAACCAACTGTTTGCTTTTGTGGAAATCCTTCTCTGTTTTGGAAATACTGTAACTTTTTATTTATATCCAACAAAATTTATGTGCATTTTTCAAAATCGCTGATGTGAGTTCAGATGTTTCATTGGTCTTTGCAAATTGGCCCCAGCACACAGGCAAAAATCTTGGGGGCGAGGGGGCAGAGAAATACGGTTGTTACCTGTTCTATGTAACCAAAGCATGGAGCAAAAACTAAACAAATATAATGTTTCTTTCCCTTGCATAAATATTTTCCAGTTGTGTCTTGAGGTCAAAGAATACAGGGATTCCACAAATTAAACAATGGATTTAAAAGTAGCATTGAAAAAAGAAAACAAGAAACAGTTTCCATGATGCTGCTGGTGAAGGTGCTCCTACAGAGCCCTGCTGAAGTCAGGCGTTCTTTCCCTTTCCAGTCTGCTCGAGTCTGGGAGAGTTACTTTCTGTGTTTAGTGCCAACCACCAGCCTTTGCACCCTGCCTGGGCTTTGTTGTGCCAATTTTTGCAAGTTGTGAGTCAACTAAAGCTTTTTTCTTGTTCTTTTCAGTCTCCCATATACCAGCAGACTTGTGAAAACTTTACTGTATAATTTCATTAGACAAGAAAGAAGCCCTCCTCCAGGAACCCATGTCTTTCAGCAGCAAACAGATGGAGGAGGACTACTTTATGGAATTGCATCTGGGGTGGCAAGTGAGTCTTATTTTCTGTAAACTATATTTCAAACCTTATGAAATGTTGCTTTCTGTGTGACTTCTCTTACAGACACACCTGTGGCCCATTTCTTTTTCAACAAGTCATACCAGTGTGCTTGCTGAGTATAGAAAACCTGTCCACAGGTCTGCTTGGGTTGTAATCATATATAGTCCATCTTGAGATGTGTTAGAATCTGAGGCGATTGTATGTGCAGGCACTGCAGGGATACCTTCACATGGTAAAAGTAGAACTTAGTCCCTATTCTTCTTCTAGTGAGACATTAAAAAAACACCCCAAAACCAACCAAGTATAAATCACATGCTTCGACTTAAAATGTTGTAAGAAATACTTTTATATGCATATTTTATTCTTTATAATTGCTCAGTGGATATGGTGGCCTGCTCTGTGGCTCTGCTTGAGCAGAAGGGTTGGACTAGGTAGTCTCAAGAGGTCCCTTCCAGTCTCAAGGATTCTTTGCTATAAGGGGGGGTGACCAAGATAGGAATTTTTGTAACATATTGTAGTGTATGTCTTTCCCAGTAGGTTGACTAATGTTTTTTCCTGAATAGTATGACTAGATTCTGACCTTCTGTGGGTGGACCGTTTGCTATAGAGAGATATCGCCTGAAGAATATGAAAGACTTGATGCCTCTTTTCGTTAAGGAAAAGGGTTCTCGTGTTTGTTGTACTATATACTGTGTTTTGGCTGATAGTTGCTCTCTTCCCCCCATAATGTGTTTTATTGGTGTGTGTATTACATATAAAAATTCTTCCTAAAGGTTTTTCTTTTCCATATAATAAGAATAAAATAGAATATAGTGCTAACAGTAAAAGTATGTGTTGTTTTCTTTTTCCCCGATAAACTAAATAACACTTTGCAAGTCAGTTGCTGTTAAAACTGATACTATTTATTTTGCTCTCTTGTGAAATCCATTCACTGGCAGCTTCCCTAGGGGATATTAAAGTTCAGGCCGCAATTGGTCTGCCAGAAAATATTTTACAGTCTGTGACAGTGCCTGTGGATCTCCTCATGGAGGCAGTAAAAGAGCACGCCTTTAACTTGGTGCAGCGTAGCCTAAACACGTGTAAGATGAGGTTACGCACAGCTCAGTGTGCTGCTGGCACACGCATCTCCTGCCTGGTTTCCAGTTTACATGCTCAAGGGTAGATCACTGCAACGTTTGGGTCCTGCCCGTAATGTAAATGCATCCAAAAAAACAGTTGCTTGGTTTGCAGTTTATTTAAAGAGAGAAATTAATTAAATTGTTCCTTACAACCTTTTTATTTGAGAGTCCCAACAGATACATTCTCTTCGTTCTTTTCAATTGCTAAAGAAAATTGTCTTAAAATGTTTTCCCGCGGCAGTTTTTAGTATGTGGTTTGTACTTTGGCTTGTGACTCAAGAGCGGTTCTCACTGCGTATTTTGATACCTCTACTTACCTGTTGGTTTTATGCTGCTTGGTTCTAATCTCTCTAGTCACGCTTGAGTGTCTTTCTGCCTTAGTGCTGCCATGGGCAAAAAAGCTTTTTTCCCCCCCTCTTCTGGTTACTTGATTGATTTGTAAAGTCCATCCAAATTGCCACCGCTCCTGCCTTCCTCTGTAGCTCTTTTGATATCATATCCCCCCATGACTTTTTCCTTCTTGTATTTCTAAATGCAAACTCTTAAGGTTTCAGCCTACGTCTGTTCTTGTCTCTTCCTACACTTCCACCCCCTTCACTCCCCTTGAACCATTCTCTTAACAACTCCCTTTGGCATACTCCTACGCTAATTTTGTTGCTTCTTTCGTGAGTACCTGAAGTGCCATCTCTTCTCCCAGTGAATTAAGTATCTTCGTTTAAAGCTTTAGGTAAAAGAGCCTTTATAAAGAGCTTTCTAATGACCTGCGTGGGAAAGGGGAAAAACAAGCACCAAATCCTGTTAGAAAATTGAAATATTTTTTCTGTTTGTGCCCAAACAGTTAGTTAAAGGTTTTTTGTGCCTGATTATTTGCCTGTCTGCAGCGTTGGACTATAGGTGAAACTTGGACACAATAGGATTGGTAGAGTAAATAGCATATTTGCCCATCTTTGGCAAAAGAGTTTTTTGCAAAAACTCCTTTGTTTAATATAGCATCGGGTGCGTGAGTAGAGCGCAATACAGATTAGACGCCAACAAGTCGATAGATAGTCTGCTGTGGGACAGAAGCAAGTTTTAAGCAATGAAAAGATGTGGAAAACTTATGCATGATTTCTGTATAGTGTTATTTTTTGTGTATCTTGTAATCTTTATGGGATAAGAATTGAAAGAAGAATGGAAGAATTGAAGATTCACTTTTATGTTGCTCAGTGTCTTTTGAATACCACATAATGCTTAATATAAGTTTATTGAAATAGTCTAAATATAATGTTGAGGATGAAAGGAGATAGGAGCCTGGTTTTAAAAATAATTTCTTTTTCATATGAAATTTTGAGGCCCAAGATAATTATTTTGCTTGTTCATTTGAAATTATATGAAGTAACTTAATACCACAGTCATCTACCTTACCATGTATTACATTACGCATATTTTGTAGCCACTTGCAGAGCAGTGCAAACAAACTCTTATAAGCACTGAATTTTAAATCCACCCCCCTTTTCCTTCCTTGTGATTCAG